TGTATTCAGGGAAAAAACAGCATCATGTTGTGTTCAGAAAAAAAGTGATTGCGTTGTGCTCAGAAAAAAAGTTAGCATTACTATATGCTCAGAAAAAAGTCAGCATAACATTGTGCTAGGGAAAAGTCAGCATCATGTGCTTAGGGAAAAGTTAGTGTCACGTTGTATTCAAAAAAGTCAACATCACATTGTGCTCAAAGAACAAGTCAGCATCGCGTTGTGCTCAGGGAAGAGTCAGCATTACATTGTATTCAGGGAAAAGTCAGAATCATGTGTAAAGCAAAATTAAAATGTATGCAATACTTTTATGTTTGTTTGTTTGTTTGTTTAGGATAGAGTAAGGAATGGTTAAGACACCTGAATGGTTTTTTCTTCTGTCTGAGATTTAATTTCACTTCCTGTCTCAGAGATGCAACAGAAATTAAGAGGATATTTTTTTCTGTCCAAAAGGGATATTGCATTTTAAAACTATGAGCAAAACATTTTGTTCTCATTTTGAATAGAGTAAGAGAGAGTTATAAACCCTATAAGGTTTATTTTTGCCATTTTGATCCCATTGGGGAGATTTACCTTCACTTCCTGTCCCATAGCCAAAACAGGAAGTGAGAGGAAATCCCTGCAAATTAAGGTCACCAGAACTAATGTGCCCATTGGAAGATTTCCCTTCTGTTACTTTTCTGGGGACAAGTCAAAATTTGGGATTTTCATTTGCATTCACTTTTGCCGATAATGGTAAACAGGACAAATAGAGAGGGTGAATCTCCCTAATGGGGGCACAGACAGCAATAAAAACTGACAGGTGTTCTAAGCCATCTCCCTTCTATTCACACTAAAAAAAAAAGTTTTGCTTTTAGTTATACTTTAAGGCGCCCATAGACTGGTAGTCTTTCTTTTGTTCAGACTGCGGGCTAAACCAAAAAAAAAAAAAAAACAGATTCCTCCATCCAAACATGGAATCCCCTTTCTGGAACATTATATTCCTACAACTGTACATACTGCTATCAGAATGCAGCCATTGATCAAGAAAGTTTTTCCAACATTCTCCTTTGTCAGAAGTTGATCAAACAATTGAATTTTGTCTTGTCGAGGACAACCATAGACTCATTGAAATTCAGCTGGCCCCAATGACGCAATGGGGCTTTAATGAATGAGAAGGGCAGGGTGGTGTGGAGGGTATTGGACTATTGTTCCGCTATAGGTTAATGGTTTGTCTGGCCAGTTGGATTCAAGGTTCTTCAGGGCCAGTCTGGTTTGATTATCGTTATTGCTGGCTTTTAAAGTTCACTTTTCCTTACTACAGGGTTCTTTAAAAAGTTTCCACACTTTTTAAAACTATTTAGTAAGAAAGAGTGTGGAAACTTTTTGAAGAGCCCTCATATCTACAATTTGCAGCACAAAGGACCTTCAAAAGAGACAAACAATTTTAGCTTGTTACAATTCTCATTGCACAATAGGCACCTGTGAAATATGGTTTATTTTCATTCCCTTTCTCTGGGATATCGCTCCCACATACATTCCCCATAGCTACAGAGATAAAAGAGCTACCACGGCTTCTCCAGCAATCTAATGAGATGTATTCTCAGCACTGAAAAAGATACAATTGTGGACAGGCTTCTGGCCAACCATACACTCTATTCAGCTATTACAGACCAGACTAAAAAAAAAGAAGAATTTACTTTAACCCTCTGAGGAACTCATCTCTCTTAGGAAGTAAATGATATCTCATCGGTGCGTCTAAGTCTAAGTCATGCTTTTTTAAAAAAATCCAGCTATAGTATATTAACATTGAGAACATATATATCAGTGTATATTATTTAGTCTGTAGGAAAATTATAGAGTCCACAAATTCTGGTATATATACTGTTTCAGAAAATAAATCAATCCTAATTCTTGAGGCTCTAAAATGCCAGGACAGTACAAATATCCATCAAATTACCCCTTTTTAAAAGGTAAAAAGTCCAAGGTATTTAATAATAGGCATGGCAAGTTTTTTGAAGTTGTAATTTTTTTGTCACAATTTTTTGCTAAATGAAGAAATCAAATAATAATAAGAATAAACATTTTTTTTTCACTTCTTTTTACATAGTATCACCAGTGCAGTATAGCATTATCATATAACTGGTGTGTTGGTGATCAGGATACTGATTGGTGACAGTATGTTTGTTTGTTTGTTTTTTTTACTATAGTAAGACTGTACTACTCTGGGAAGGTGATCGGGATTTTATAATTTTTTTTACACATTATGATCACTTAAACAGTGATAATCACTGTTACAAGCAATCATTTTTTTCAGATTGAAATCTATTCATGCAGTTCAGTTTTGGGCACCAATTCACAAAAAACATTTGGGGAACCGGAGAAAGTATAGAGAAGGGCAACTAAACTGATAAGAGGCATGGAGGAGCTCCGCTATGAGGAAAGATTAGAGGAACTGAATTTATTCTCTTTTGAGAAGAGGAAATTAAGGGAGATATGATCACCATGTATAAATACATTAGTGGTTCATATAGTGAACTCAGTGTAGGGTTATTCACCCTGAGATCATCACAGAGGACAAGGGGGCACTCTTTACGTCTGTAGGAAAAGAAATTTAATCTCCAAACACGGAAAGGTTTCTTCACAGTGAGAGCTGTGAAAATGTGGAATAGACTCCCTCAAGTGTTGGTTCTGGCCAGCTCAGTGGATTGGTTTAAAAAAGGCCTGGATTCTTTCCTAGATACACAGAATATAACTGGATACTAACATTTATAGGTAAAGTTGATCCAGGGAATATCCGATTGCCTCTTGGGGGATCAGGAAGGACTTTTTTTTCCCTGCAGGAGCAAATTGGATCATGCTTTGCTGGGTTTTTTTTGCCTTCCTCTGGATCAACTGTGGGTATAGGATTATAACTTTTTTTTTTTTAATGGTTGAACTGGATGGACTTCTGTCTTTTTTCAGCCAGCCTAACTATGTAACTATATATGCAGTGTGTACTATTGTGATTAGCTGTGATTGGCCCTATCTGTAACATGCTATCATTGTGACCAATCACAGAGATCAACATAATAGCACACAATGAATGGAATGAATTGATGCTATCCATTGTGTACAATTGTCATGTGCTCTGCTATGATTGGTCACAGTGAACACATGGTACTGGCAGCGGCCTGGAACAATGATCTGTCATCCGCTGTGTCTGGTGGCAGCCTATAGGATGATAACAGCGCTCTAATACTATAATACTACAATACTGTTATACTCTAGCATTTACATAAGCAATGCAATACCACATTGGAAAGACAGTATATTATTATTTTAATTTTTATGGTCAGTCATACATACTGTATTTTATTGCTTCCACCCATCCAGATAAGAATATTTGTATTTTGATGTTTAAATTTTTGTTATGTGTATTCAGTATATTAGCATTCTTTATGACACTTATCCCCGCCCCTGGGAGTGTTTAGGACGTCCCACATGTAACCTTTGATGATTCATTAGTGAGCATATATAAGAGAGGGACGGACATTTGGTCAGTTGGCTCTGAGGAAGAGGTTAGCCTTCGAAACGCATCAGCCTTTTTGATGTCCAGAGTTCCCATTACAGACAGACACATAGTGTGAATCGGACAAAGCTGTTCCTTCACAATGTGCCTTTTATTTTATTGATAATCTGTGAGTACAATACCTACTTTTAACATTCAATAAACATATTTTTAAGGTAATGCACTAGGCCGGTGTGCCCTCTGTTTGTTTTTCTCCATAACAGCGCTCCCGCCTGTCATATTACAATAGGCCGGGCAGGAAGCAATTAAGGTACAATCGTAAAGCTGAAAGAATGTGTGTCCTAGGATGTCTCCGCTCTGGAGCTACGGTGACACCTTTGGAAAGCAACATTGTTAATCTGGGGAGAAGGTAGTGTTAGATGCACTGGCAGATTTAGATAGCCGTGACTAAGCCCTGGTTCACATATATGCAGCCACGCAGACCCCATTTTGCGTGGGCACGAGAGCCCATTCATTTGAATGGACTCCTGTGCCCCGTGACACGCAGGGAAGAAGTCCCTGTACTTCTTCTGAAAACGCAGCCCGCACGGGAACCTAGGATCCCAGTACGGTTGTGTTTTCCAGTGCGGGCGGCGTGCCATTAGAACTAATGGCACCCATCTGCGGGTGGTGGCACCCATTTCTCTGCGCGGGTGTTGCACGGATTTTCATGCAGATCCGCAACAGCACCATTCATACAAATGTGAAACTAGCCTTAAAGAACAAAATTATACTACAGCTAATACTATTAAAGCAGTTGTAGCAAAGTTTTAGGCAGTGCCATATTGTTTTATTTGCATGCTAGCCGGTAAGTGTGCTGGCAAACCTTTTTATTTGTTTGTGCTGTGCAAAGCTATTCCATGTGCACCTTACTTCAAAAGCTAGTTATAAATTGAGGTGGTTGCCATCATTTCTCTATCAGATCATTCCCCACAGTTATTACCTTTTGTATCACTTGACCCTCCCTTTTAGATTGTAAGCTCTAATGAGTTGTGTCCTCTGATTCCTCCTGTATTGTATTGTAACTGTACTGTCTGCCCTCACATTGTACGGTGCTGTGCAAACTGAAGGTGCTATAGAAATCCTATATAATAATAATAATAATCTTTTGTATTGCTTGCTCACTGGAATTGGCATGGGGACACATTAGATGCCTTCAGCTGCCACTGTGCCTCTGCTGGGCATCTGATGTGTCCTAGGGTTGTCCCCTTATCCCTTTAAGACTGAACACATATTCATTACACAGATTCTGTGGCTAATTAACCCCTTTACGCCGGCTGCACATAAATGTGCGGCCTCCCAGCGTCTGGGCCTAGATGCCTACATTTGCGTTCATGTAATCAAAAACATATGTGCTAAGAGCGCGTGCCCTGCGCGCTCCCAGCACACGTGTCCGGTACTCACGGCAAGGTGCCGGTCTGCTCTTTTGATCGGGACCATTCCCAATCATGTGACCTCCGTGATGATGTGTCACGGCGGTCACATGATCCCTAAACCACGCCACGTCCGCCACGCCTCCCAGCTTCTGAAACTCTTAAAGGGCCGGGAGGCGCCGGCAGGAAGGGGTTAAGGGTGGTAATTACACTCACCCGGTGCCTTATCTGCATTAAATTATCCTCAGAACCTGTGTAATGGGCTGCCTCCAGACGTAACTTCCCTTAATTTTTCCACTACTAGATATGCTCCAACATGGAGACCATCGAATATAAGAGTTAGGTCCACACTTTACAGAAAAGCCTTGGTGAGGCAGTGTGGGTTCCACGTTTATTTGCAATGTACTGCATACTAGCACATTATGACCAAAAGCTTCTGAGGTAAAATGTAATTGTTTCATTCCACTACTGCTTAGTCGGCTAGTTCTGGGAGGATGTCCATGGACGTCTTCCCAGAACCCCACTCCTGCACACCCCCTGGAGCATGCATTGGGCACGCTCTGTGACCACTGAGTAAAGAGCCAATCACAGTGGCCCTTTACCATGTGATCAGATGTGTTCAATCACAGCTAATTACATGTAAAGAGACTTGCCAATTATCGTCAGTCCTTTCCTCACGCACTTTGTCACGGTCTCAGTATATTACTTACACTGATAATCAGGGCACTGATTATCAATGCAACCCATCAGTGCTCTTCAGTGCAGCTTATCATTGTCCATTAGTGCAGCTTATTACCCATCAGTAGTTCATCAGTGCAACTCATAGGTGCCCATCAGTCCCACCTCATCAGTGCCTCTTCATCAGTACCCATCAGTGCAGCTTATCAGTGGCCATCAGTGCCACCCCATCAGTGCAGCCTCATCAATGCCACTTCATCAGTGCCCATCAGTGCAGCTTATCAGTGCTCATCACTGCCGAATCAAGAGTACCCATCAGTGCCCATCAATGCAGCCTCAACAGGGCCCATCAGTGCCGTCTCATCAGTGCTGCCATATCAGTGCCCATCAGTGGATCCTCATCAGTGCCCATCAGTGCAGCTTCATCAATGCCTATCAGCCCTGCCTCATTAGTGCCCATTAGTGCAGCTTCATCTGTGCCCATCAGTGCAGCAGCATCAGCGCACACGAGTGAAGAAAAAAAATTACTTATTTGCAAAATTGTATAACAGAAACATTTTTTTTTTAACTTTTCGTTCTTTTTTTTTTTAGCACAAATAAAAAACCCCAGTGATAATTAAATACCACCAAAAGAAAGCTCTATCTGTCTCAAAAGAATGATAACAATTGCAGTGTTACAGTGTTGCATGACTGCTCAATTGTCATTCAAAGTGTGACAGCAGTGAAAGCTGAAAATTGGCCTTGGCAGGAAGGGGGCGAAAGTGCCCGGTATTGAAGTGGTTAAAGATACACATCTCAGGAAATTTTGCATTTAAACCCCTTCCAGGGTCTTGCCTACTGGCTTTGTATTTGTAATGTACATCCTGGCATTCCCCTTCTCTAGCTGCTCCTTTACTTAATCCATATGCCAGCATCATCACAATTTCATGATGACCTTGAATCAGAGCTGGGGCAAATACAGGACAGCATGGTCCTTAGTTAAAGCTCTACATTGAACCCAGAGATGCTGCACAGAAAAATATCATGTGATAAGAGACTGCAGTCTCTCCCTAAGTTTTTATATGTTTGGGTGGTGCCACTGCGGATCCGCACGAAAATCCGTGCAGCCGCACCACCCACACAGAGAAATGAGGACTTGCAGGAGGGTGCCATTAGTTCTAATGGCACGCCGCCCGCACTGGAAAACGCAACCGTACTGGGAACCGAGGTTCCCGTGTGGGCTGTGTTTTCAAAAGAAGTGCAGGGACTTCTTCCCTGCGTGTCACGGGCACGGGAGTCCATTCAAATGAATGGGCTCTTGTGCCCATGCAAAACGCGGCCCGCATGGCCGTATATAATTTAACCGGGGGTTAACCAGAATCACTGTGAGAGGCAGGGGCGGACTGACAACTCATGGGGCCCCCGGGCAATAGGGGATCATGGGGCCCCTGTGTCCTTGCCCAAACTCAAAAAAGCCTATGAAAAAGGTACCAGGGGCATCTCATGGGGCCCCCTACTGACCCCGGGCCCTCGGGCAGTGCCCGAGTTTCCAAATGGTCAGTCCGCCCCTGGTGAGAGGTTTACTATATCTGGCTCCAGTGCACTGTATAAAATAAAGAAAAAGCGAGCAGACTTTCTGCTTTATCATGACTGCAGTGTTGAGCGATCTGCCCATGGATTGATATTACACTTTGGCCGTTTTTGCTCACACAGTGTCTTCAATGCGTTAACGGCAGGAACACCAGGGTGCTCTGTGCCTCCAGATTGCCTCTGATACCAGGACTGGCGCAATATTTTCATTTTCTGGAGCCAGGCTTGTGGGAGATCAAGAATCCTATGCATTTATTGAGTTTAGCCCTAAGAGATGTATGTGGTCTGATCAGACAATGAGATTATATCATGATTGCAGATTCCAGAAGAGCACATGTGGTTTTCCAATTTTTCTTTACTTGGAAGATCACAGAGGGCTAAATGTTATTTCCTAAGCTTGCCGGACCCCCACTACCGGTGCTTACGTGTTTAACGTTCTCCTTTCTATTAAGCTGTCTTATCTCTAGTTCAGCTCCAGTGTATTTCCCATACGAGGGATCATCTGTCCGCGGGGACGTTGGCTGTCACTAATTCATTTTTCATGGCTCCACATGAGAGCACTTTCCAAAAAGCTCATTCTATTGTTCGGGCGCGCTCAGTTCAGTCACCTCAGTCTCTAGACATCTTGCTGGAGACCTGTGAATGTCCTGCTGTGTACTTTATGTAAACCAGTCAACTCACTTTATGTAAAACAGGATTTTATTTTTTATTGTAACATGGTGCATGTGGAAAAGAATTCTCTGCATTGTGCACATTTTCCCTATCACAAAGTTACCAGTACCTGTCACCAGTGGTGTATTTAGGTTTCGTGCTGCCCTAGGCAACACAAAAATTGGTTCCCCCCACACGGAGAGGCCTTGACACTGACCAACACCCCCCTCCCCCATGAAGAGAGCCTTATATTGATGAACAACACCCTGCCACCCAAGAGAGCCTTCCTCTACCACCGCCCCCCATACACTGGCCACACCCCCTGCCCCGAGAGGGAGGAGACACTCACCTTCTCAGCTCAGGACATCCCTGAGAACAATAAAACAGCCTGCAGCCTCTTTCAGATCCCACCTGTGTCCCTTCTTCCATCCCCTCTTTTGGGAAAGGGGGCGCTGCCCCCCTGAAAAATGCCGCCCTAGGCAAGTGCTTTGTTTGCTTTGTGGTAAATACACCTACTGCCTGTCGCCCAGCCATTCATTTCACCAACATTTGTTTCATAAGATTATATGTGCATTTTGTAGACCACAGTGTAAAGCCTTGCACACATGATCAGAAAATCGTACAAAAATACCGCTTTCGAAGCAATCGTACGATAATCTGATCCTTAGTACACAGCTTTGGACAGCCACTTATCCTAAATTCATCCAAAATTATCCTAAGGGACAAAAACATAAATGTTTGTCATACAATAACAAATCGTACGATTTTCGTTTAATCAGTAGTTTTCATCCAGAAATACAATACAAATACAGTACAATAAATAACATCACTTCCAAAATTCTATTCTGTCACACAAGCCTTTTCGAAAGCTGAATAACCTCTGCATTTTCGATATGGAGACTAGCATGGATGATCATTCGTCCGATATTCTCATCGTGTGTACGAGGCATAAGTCTCTATATTGTGGTTTAATAAATCATCATTACATTTACTTATTCAGCATTCTAGTCTCTTCTCCAAAAGCCAGAAGCCCCAGTGGGCTCAGAGCTGTCACTCAACTGACACTCTATAGCAGTGAGTAAGCATTTAATATACTTGATTTTTCTGTGCTTTTACAAGCAATTCTTTAAAGTTGGTGATAGGAACTCTTTAACCATATGCCCTCCAGATGATTTACCCCCCTTCCTGACCTGGCCATTTTTTGTAATATGGCGCTGAGTTACTTATTACTGACAATTGCGCGGTCATGCAATGCTGCACCTACATGAAATTTATGTCCTATTTCCCACAAATAGAGCTCTCTTTCGTTTTAAATTTCATTTTTTAATTTTTTTGTTTTTAATTTTTTGTGCTATAAACAAAAAGACCGACAATTTTGAAAAAAACTTTATTTTTTACTTTTTGCTATAAAAAAAAGTCCAGTAAAAAAATTAAAAAATCAAATTTTGTCATAAATTCAGGCCAAAATGCATTCTGCTACATGTCTTTGCTAAAAAAAACATCCCAATACATGTAAATTAATTGGTTTACTTAAAATTAATAGCAAGTTTACAGGTGGTGGTGTATATATACTGGATTTTTTTTTCTTATACTAGTAATGGAGAAAATCAGCATCTTATAGCGGGACTGTGGCGGGCATTCTGACACTGGGGGGGAACTGACTAACAGCCACTGACATCCCCAGTGACACTATTACAGTGATCAGTGCTAATAAAAAGCACTGACACTGTACTAATGACACTGGGCAGGAAGGGTTAACATCTGGGGTAATCAAAGGGTTAACTGTGTGCCATTTTACTGTGTGCTGTGTGTGCTTTACTATGTAAGCATGCTGGTTTGTATTGCTCTGCTATGCTGGTGCTGACAGGGGAGAGATCTGTATTGTTTATGATCGCCAGGTGCCGGCGGGGAATCTCTGGCCGGGACCCGGTGATTGACAGCTGTAGCCACCGATGGTGCGCCCCCTGCTCGGATTTTGCACAGCCCTGCCACCCTGTAGCAGTAGTTCTGCTATAGGGCGGTCTGGAAGTGGTTAATCAGTTTATTACCACTGTACCTTTAAAAATGCCTAAGTGTTGGATGTTTATATCTGCAATGCCATTTATAAATGGCTTTGTGGGAAATATCCCCCCACGCCGTACTCTCTGGCTCCTCCTGTGCTCTTTCCCAGCCCCCCCACAGCTCTGCCGAGTTCCCCACTCCCCTCTCCTGCCAGCTGCTGTGGGAGATCTGTCAGCATGGAGAGCCGGGAAGGGACTGGTAAATGTGTAATCTGGCCCTTTCCTTTTCTGACCGGAGAACCAATGATCTGTACCAATCACTGACTCTGTCCATTCATAATCAAAGCATAGTAAACTGTGTTTACTATGCTTCAGTTTTAAATGAAAGGAAACCTCTGTACAGAGCTATTCCTGTCCATTCATTCTGTGTAGCTGAGACTGCAGAGTATGTGATTGAGGGCTGTGTCCTCAATCTCCTTTCTCTTTCCCAAAGGTGGAATATCAGAGATCTATTTAGACCCTTGATATCTCACCAAATCCCCCCCCCCCCCCCCCCGAACGGGGCTCCTAAAAATAATTGTAAAAAATAATTTAAAAAACAGTATAGTAAATAATCTAAATTAAGAAATGGTGAAAAAAAATAAATAAATAAAATAACAAAAATAAAAAAAACTACTGACATCAGTGGTGAAACTACCAGGGTCACAAAGGTTGAACTTGCGGCTGGGCCCTGGTGTTCTGCCACCGGGCTTAGAGGGAAGTGCCCTGGCCGGAGGTCAGGGGGGCCCTTCATAGTTTCTTGCACCGGGGCCCTGAAGATTCTAGTTACGTCACTGGTACAATGGATACTTGGGATTAAGGACTGGTCCACACTATGCCTTGATAAGAATCGCACAGGAATGCACTCCTGTGCGATTCATATGCAGTGCGATTTCATGCCCATTCATTTGAATGGGATGAAATCACCCAGCACTACTTTTTTTAAACACATAGCAACTGCACTTTGTGCCATGCGGTTTGGTGTGGGACATTGCGGGCAATTGCATTGCATTTGAAACCCACCGGTTTGGGGTGCCATTACCTATAACTAACCCCCACAGCAGATCGCAAGGGCATTGCGTTTGGAATGCAGTGTGGGACAAGGGAATGCAGCTCACCCGCACCACATTCCAGTGTGAACGAGCACTAATCCTGCAGTGTTGTACTGTTCACTATTCATTACATAAAACCAAAAGACGTTGTCTCACCTGGCCCCTTTAAGTACTACTATCTTGCTAGCCACGCCCACAAGCAGGTTTAAGTGGGAGGATTTTATTACTATTGTGGATTTTTTTTAACCCTCCGCCCATGCAGCGTTTTTAACGCTTTTCAAATGCTCCCCAACACCCTATGCGCAGTTTTAAGACGTTTGATAGTCGTTTGCCAAGCGTTAAAACCGCACCACAAATGCCTATAATGAAGATAAATGGTATTAACGCTCCGCAAACACCCCGCAAACGCCTGCCAGGCGTTTAAGGAGCGGCACCATAGACTCATGTCAAGTGGGAGGCTTCAACTCCTCCTGACTTGACATGACGCGTCAGTTTTGACGCGACGCTAAAGCTTCAGTGTAAACAGCACTGTGTGCTGCAATGTGCAGAATTTTCATAGGCATTTGAGAAGCTTCCCAAACGCCTGTCTGGCTCCTGCTGACAAAGCTAGTGTGAATGTAGCCTTAGTTGCAGCCTGTAGCTAATGACCTGTATATTAACACCTTCACCTCCCTTACCCAGCATATCTGCACATTAACCCCTCATCTCCATCCCTTCATTGCATGTGACCTGTACATTAACCCCTTCACCACCCGGTCCCTCTCTGTATGGCCTTGTATACAAATTATACATCTAGTGCACCATTACTAAGCTCCACATTTTAATCTCAGTACCATGGTTCTTCATTTCTAATTGTGGCAAACAAATGAATCACCTTGGGGTGTCTACTTTTAAAAAAGGGTATTTTTTTTTTTTGGGGGGGGGGGGGTGCATATGTACTGCCTTGGCTTTTTTATTTGCTATGTTTTATACCAGAAAGTAAAGGAAAGGTTTTTTTCAACATTTTTTTCCTTTATACAGTAAAAAAATAAAAACCCATTTGGTTATTAAATATATCTGTTTGACAGTAAGTGAAATCAATACATCGTTAATGCAATCCAGAACTGCAGAACTGTAGCTTTTTGCCACATGACACTGTGCAACCTCTCTGTCTCCACAGAATCATACATTTATATTAGAGCAGGAAACATTTTGCTAACTCAGTTTTAGGGCTACTTCATAT